GAATTCGGGAATATGCCAGACGAGTGGTACACAAGCACGACTGTACCAATATGGAAGAGCAAAGGCGACATAGCCAATTGCTCTACAAACAGACCAATTCGACTCATGTGCCATACGTTGAAGTTCTTCTAAAGAACACTGGAGATGTGGCCTCGAAGCATCATACAATTTCTCTCTCTCCCCCCCCCCCCCACCAATGCGGCTTCGTAGAGGGGTGCAGTATAACCGACGACATAGCCAATTGCTCCACAAACAGACCAATTCGACTCATGTGCCATACGTTGAAGTTCTTCTAAAGAACACTGGAGATGTGGCCTCGAAGCATCATACAATTTCTCTCTTCCCCCCCCCCCACCAATGCGGCTTCGTAGAGGGGTGCAGTACAACCGATGCCGTTTACACAGTCGTAATAATGATGGAAAAAAGCAGGGAAAGCAGTGTGAGCTCCATGCGGCATTCCTCGTTGGAGAAAGCGTTCGATAGAGTACCACATTACCGGATATGGTCATTACGAAATCACGAGGTACCAGAAGAATAATTCCGCTGGATCAAAATGATATGCAAAGGAGCCACCAGCCACGTACGAACGGTGGCGGAACGCTTAGACGACTTCCAGATAAACCCGGCGTGCATCAAGGTTCCGTACTGTCGCCGCTACTTTTCATCACAGTCGTAGACACAATAGTAAGAGATTTCATACGCCCGCTCCCATGGTCCGTCATGTACGCAGACGATGTGATCCTGATGGAGAAGCAGGAAAGAATTGGAGACTGATGTTTCATTTCATTTCATTTCATTTGTACGCTCAAGGCGTTCCATAAAAAAAAAGACACATCAAGAAGTTAGTAATACAGCGGAAACGAACAAGACATGTCAACAAATGCAGACATCATCATGTCAGTCCGAGTCTGATCCTAATTAGACTAATGTGAGAAGATAGAACAGCTTGCACTAAATATGTTGGTAGGCTAATAGATAAGGTCTACTGGCTCAGGTATAATAACCATAACCCAACCTAGCCGGAATGCTGGGGAGGCCCAATGACCCCAAAGGTGAAACGATTCTCATTGAATCCATTTGTTGAAATAGCAAGCTGTACGATTGACTACTAGACAGCTGAACGAAAAAGACTCGGACTGAGATGCTGATGAAACTGTGTTAATAACTAGAACAAAACGAGTACACCAAAAAAGTTTGACGCAACGTGAGGAGATACACGAGAGGCGTCAAAGAAATAATTTACAGCCACAACTGAACCCGCAAGTCAATGCAAGATCACCGAGCACCTGAATAGACAGGTTTTAGAGGTAAAATGGAGAAGAAAGGTGATAGAAAACAAAGCCCAAAGCGATTCCATCCGCCATCATAGCACGTCCAAAACACCCAATGGAAGCCCAAAAGGTCTAATGCAGAAGGCTCGCCTGTCATGCAACACTAATCAGTGTTAGCGATACTTGACAAGTCAAGCCTTCTCAGTCTACTCCTGAAAATATGACTACTCTCTGCACTAGTGGTTTCAACCGGGAGGTGCGAAAGCCACCTAGCCGACCTGTAGAACACGTTGTTGAACATCAGCAAGTATCTCTTGCGCCGGATTCTTGGATATTGCAAGTTAAAAGAGCCTGACCTTTCGCTTGTAGGAACAAAAATCCAGTATTTACTGGCTCTTAGCTTGTTCTCTCTTCTCAGAACTTGAAAACAGAATACAAGATCCAAGAAAGCACGACGATTTGTTAAGGATTTCATATAAAACCTCTCAAGCCGGGTCTGGTAATCGGGAGGGGTGGTTCCGGGCGATAAACGTCTATACAACAGTCGTGTAAAAAGCTGTTGAACCTTTTCAATTCTGCGAATATCCTTTTTACGAAAGGGGGACCAGACCTGAGAACAGTATTCTAAATGAGGCTTTATAAAGCGGTATAAGTATCTTCGGATAACTAGCATTAGTATTGCGGAAAAGCAGAAAGAGTGAAGAATAAGCTTTTTTGACTAACATATTGATATGCTCAGTGAAGTTAAGATTTGTATCAATCACGACACCCAAATCTCTAACAGTATCACAACTCTTCAATATAGAGCCTTTGATGTGATACGTTATAGTATTTCCACCTCCAAGATGAAGCACTGAGCATTTGTCAAAATTTAACGCTAATTCCCAGATGTGCAAGCATTTAAAACACAACTTGAGCTGCATGGTCTGAAGATCAGTACCGCAAAGGCAGAATACATGGAGCTAGGACCTCGAACGGAAGGAACGATCAAGATTGCAGACACAGCAATCAAGAAGACCACGTCATTTAAATACTTGGGAAGTTGCATAACAGCAGATGGCTCACTTCACGACGAGATAAATGGCCGAATAAACGCGGCTTGGTTTGAAATGAAGGAGCCTCACAGGAATTCTGCGCGACAAACGGATGCCACTGAAGCTGAAGTCACAAATGTGTCGCACTGTAATCTGTCCAACCGCGTTGTATGGAGGCGAGTGCTGGCCAAGCACAGGTAACGATGAGCGAAAGCTTGGGGTGCTGGAAACACGTATGCTGCCATGGACGATGGACGCGTCCGTGCTCGTGCTCACGTCACGAATGATACGATACGAACCATTATGAAAGTTGCTCCCATAGTCAAGAAGCTGCAAGAAAGACGATTTCTATGGTACGGGCCGTAAGAAGACAAGAAGAAGAACACATCACAGGGTTAGCAATGTCAGCGGAGGTGTGGCCGGGAAAAGACCACGAGGGAGACCCGAGCTAATATTAACCAATCGAGTGAAAGCGACTTGAAAGAACTTGGATTAGATGAACGACAAGTTGTAGATCGAGAGGAATGGAAGAGATTGACAAGAGCAGCACCCGTGTAGGGACAGATGCAAGGATAAAAAGACTCAAAATGGTACAAAGATTAGCAGTTACAACCCTGGGAGGGAGAAGCAAGTAAGTGCAGATTGGAGAAGAGCTGATCACAGCTGACAAGGGAAGGATACTAAGTAAGATTCGCCTTTTGAGATGAAACACATATATTTGGAAAGAGCTTGGAACGCTGATTCCAAATATGCTATTTCCAGCTGCTCAGCATTATTCTGAAGCGAGTTATGATCTCTTTTCTATGCAAAGTTTGCGTGCTCCTCGACCTACTCATGCTACGGTGCCGAAGTCTAGGTGGTTTTGCAACTGTATCATGGTCCCTTTTGATATCGAAAGAATTGATCCGATGCTCGTTCAACATCCTAGCACTTTTTTCGAGCCCACAACTGCAAGCCCATAACTCGCTCCGGAATAACGCTGAGCAGCTAACTCAGCGTTCAAAGCTGATTCCGAATATATGTGTCACATCTCAGAAAGCGAATCTAAGTTAGTATCCTTCCCTTATGAGATACAAACGGTCCTTAAAAGTTCGTGGAGCCTCTTGTACTCTGTAAAAGCCGTAAAGGCATGAACGAAAGCGACTGAGTCGGAGTTGATGACTGTTTGCTTTTAATACGTCGTGAGCGAGATGTTTGTTAAAGCGCGCTTTCTTCCTTACGAAGATCAGCGTCGTTGCTATTTCGGATTCTAACGAAGATGAGAGGAAGAGTTTTGAGATAAAAAATGTTGCCACTTGACAAACTTAGGGTGCAGAGCAGATTAGTTTAGAAACTAAAAAAAATTATGTGCACTGAAAGTTCTGCCACTCTGGGGCATTAGGGGCAATTGCCACCTTAGTTCGGCGAAATATTGGGCAAGTTCTTCATTCACATAAGTTTTTCGCATATTTTCGTACTTCAAGTACGCATATACACACTAAATATCTGTGCAGTGCAAACGAGTCATTTTTACACTTTTCATTAGCGGAAAGTTTTCAGAAAAAAATCTTCCGCAACCTTCAGCCACATGATTTATCCACAGTTCTTTGCATTAAGCCCCTTTTATCTCTTCTCCGTTTATATACTAGATTTGGTGTTATCTCATTGTGCGTGGCTGTGAACGAAGCGAATGCTTATTATTTTGTGCGAAAAAACTTGGATTTTGGAAAATAAACAAAGTTGTTTTTTTGTGCACGCCGATAGTGTAGCAACTTATTAGGAGAATGCGTAGGTAAAGGCTACCTGCAGGACGAAGGCGCAGAAGCACTATTGGATGAGCGGTATCAAAGTACATGCGCACATATCTTCACCGATTGTAAACCCTGCGATCCGCGTGCTCTGTGGCTAATAAACTTTGCGTTTGCGCCCAAGGGTATTGCGCTTTCGTCATGCGTAGCCTACACTGCTTATGTATGAACCTGTGTTCACAACTCCCCTCCCTCTGTGCGTTTTTCACCTAGAACGACTTTCAGTTTGACATAAACCACCCTCTGACTCAACAACATGAGGATCATGGACTATCATCTAGTCGGAGAGCGTCACCAAATCACCCACTTTTCAAAGTGGAAGCAACTCAATGACTCGCTCCGCACGCAGAAAAAGCTTGAAAGCTTAATACCTTCGAAACATGGAAGTAAAGCGGGGTTATCTCTAACTCAGCTTAGCCCCTCTAGAACAAACCACATAAAAACAACAACATAAAAATACTTAGAGGATGGCATCGGAAATGTAATGTCACACCGTACAATGTAGGTGCCTTCGCCTTCACTGATGATGAGATGTCTCCTTTTGGGGAATAAAATGTACGCTATCAGGAACACTGTCCCAAAAAGGGATTAATTTTTACTCCCCTGGGCTGATTAAAGGGAAGTCATCAAAATGCTTGTAAGCAGGATAGCAAGAGGTCAGGCACATACCCTTCAAAAACGATTACCCGCTTTGCGAACGTACTGAAACGACTCTCATTTCTTGATCTCACCTCCGCATTCTTATGTCGCATTTAGGAGAGAAAAAGCCTGTGGCGACTTTTCTCTGCTGTTCTCTGCGCATGTCTGCGATAGCACACGGCTTAGCAGTGAAACGGTATAACTGACGGTAAACTTGCCCCGTTTTTTATGTTCACCTTATACATCATAGTGCATTTCAGTAAACTTGCTTTGATTGTGTTCAGAGGTCTTTCTTTTTGTAAGTAATTCACAGCTCTATTAGCGCAGCCAAGTTTACAGCTTGGTAATGCTTGTAAGATGTAGACCTGAAATTAAAAGCTTGGTAAAAAAGTGTCATATCTAGGGTGTCCCAAAAGCATGTAAGCACTTTTTAATTGCTGATATCTATCTCTATTTCCAAAGCCTTTGAAATTTAGGTATCGTCGAGTCATTCGTAACTTAGTATGCGTAGTGCACACCATGTGCGCTATCTGACGAACTCCAAGACTAGAACCTGCTCATTTTCAATGACTTGTCTTTATTTGTTCTTTTGTTTTTTTTTTGCTGGATATATGTCAGCTGTTGGAATACGAATTCAAAGTTTGTTAGGCTAGAAAAAGTTTTACAGAATAGTTTCCAGTAAGGGTGCCGTCGCTTGCCGCGCAGGGTGTACACTTTTACATATTAAGTTACAAATGACTCAATGATAGCTCATCGTAAACTGGTTTCAACTTGATTTTGCAGTATAGAGCGATTCACCGATTTTTCATTATCACTGTAGGATAATGGTAGAAAATTCCAGCTTCCGGCATTATAGCGTCATTGTGAGATGTGCCAAACTCCCAGGAAAAAATTTTTTGGTTTTTGCGAAACTTGCATCTAAATTAATATGTGACTGAGCCGACGCGAGACGACGTGGTATTGGACTTGGTCTTAGCAGGGTTGCAGTGTGTCACTTAGCCACTGCTAGCCACTGTAGGATTATGATAGGAAAATTCCAGCTTCCGGTATTATGTATAGCGTCATTGTTAAATAGGTCGATTGAAAAAAACTTTAAGAATACTGAAAAGTTGTGTAGCAGTGTTTTCATGCATGCTGATATCATTATACAACGTTTCAGAGTTTTCCCCCCCCCCGACTTTTGAATCAGAAACTAAAGGCTGTACCTTTGTACCTTTGAACTGCTCTACAAACATAAACAAGATTATCTGCTAGGGTCAGAAATGTAATGACGACATTGTGCCGGAAGTGTCTGCTATAATCCACTAATAAAGAGCAATGAAAGATTCGTCTTCGCTCCATTCTTTCACTTTCAAGCTGTTCCCTACAACATGCTGCTCACACGAAAACTATTCAGAAGAAAGCCGTTAACGAAACGCCACGACACATGCTTTGGTACACCTTGCATATGACATGTTGATGTGACCTTTCTAGTTGTTTTTTCGAGGAGTTTCAGTGTTTTCATGAAAAGACCGAAGACTCTGTCATCATCGATTGGTTTTGACACATTGAGCGGAGCTTTCATGGTGATAGCTCTGTAAAATCACTATTAAGGCTTCGCAAACTCAACGCTACTAAAAAGTCGCAACCTATCTATCATGAATACGACTTCAGGTTTCAGTTCTTTCACTACCTGAGTAAAGTTGAAGGAAAATCGACAATTGGGATAAAACATTTCACATCCTAAACTTGTTATCGCTATTATTGAATCGACATATTAGTGAGGCTCTATGAAAACAACATACTTGATATACAAAATATGTTGAACTGCCTTGCATACCGTTTAAATGCCTTGTAAATGACATCGCCTTGGTTACAGGCAAAGCTATTTCCAGCGATTAGCATGTCTATTCTGCCATTTCCATTCTAAAGACAAAAAATAATCAATATGCGGTGTACACAGATGGACTCTCCTTTCAAAAACAGGAGCCTTCAGTCACAGATACGATTTGGCTTATTGTAAACCAGTCCTTACATTAGTTTGCATACCATAACAGAATATCCCAAAAAATGTGAAAAAAGATCTTCCAGAGAGCTTGAGGCACCGTTCTGCAGAGCAAGGTTCAACTTAAACTTACAGCATATAAGGATTCTCCAATCTTTTTTCTTTACTGTAGGATTACGGCATAACCTTTCAGCATATAGCGCCACTGTGGAATGCGCTTTTTCAGGAAAAAATCCCAAAAAATCCAGAAATCTGTGTAGCAAGGTTCTCAGGCCTGCTGATTTTACTACATAGCTTTTTACCAGTTTTTCGAGATTTTTCAATGGTGTAAAGACGAACATTGGAAGAATAGTCGCTACCCTAAACCTGAAATAACTTATAAAAGAAGCATTACAGTAAATTGCAACTTTCATATTTAGAATCAGCGTCTTTGATTAGTCCGGCACAAGAGTTTCTGTCTTGTTTGGTTTTTCCTTCGAGGCAAAAATCGCTTTCTATTCTCCAAAATCTTTCTCGAAGTTCCTACAGTTATCCTACCGTAATGAAGAGCGAGTGATGATCAGAGGTGCGATAGTCGGAGCCAAGTCTCCGCCTACCTTCACTTTTGAGCTGGTACAGGACGACCACCTTCACTTTTGGGTTTTGGGGTTTTTTTGCTGAAGTTAAAAAAGGAAAATAAGCAAAAGAACGTAAAAGATGGTGTTGAGAGCATATTCTTACGCAGTTCACTCTTAAAGGCAGTGTCTCACCAAAGTTGAGGTCGCGGGGATCTTTACATATTCTATTATAGGGACCTCTAGATAGGCCATTGCAACAAGTCCCACTCAATTTGACCCCCTCTACGCTGAGAAAAATTCGCTCAAAGTGGTACGCGGAGAGCCAGTTGGTACACGCGGACGACTCTTTCGGTCTCCCCCCTTACGCGTTTGAACATGTCCCTCCACTTGGCATCCACCTCCCCTGTGTTGCTGCCACTGTGGCTGAGACTGAAGTTGGAAGGTACAACTCGTCCTCGTTGCTTCCGCGGGGCCTCCAGAAAACGGGGTTTTTGGGAACTTCGTGCGATTTTAAGCCCATACAGTGCTAGACAGGGTCCGACAGGCTTGCAAAATGCAAAAATTTCGGCAACTAAATTTTGGTGAGACACTGCCTTTAAGAACTCGCCGTCGGCTACTGCGAGCACCTAAAGGCCATCACTGACATGGACGCTCTACGCCTCGCCTCACTACGGTTTTGGAGAGCAACGTTTCATGATGAATTCGGATAATTGAAGAGCTCTAACCCAACGGTCCTCCTTAGGGCCAACAACTGTGACTCAACGGCCCTCTTTTGAACCATAAATACGATGAGTACAGCGGCATAAATATTTGAGATAAACGTGTTAATCAAATGGTGTATATTTGTCAATAAAACTCAGCTATTTACTTTATTAAGTAAATTTTGTTATAACGTACTGCGGATAAATTAGGTCGATCCAGGCAGTAACTACCGAGAACCAGAATTTCGAATGTATCATATAGTGGAAAAATTAGGTTGATTCGAACAGTGGCCGCCGAGAACGAGGATTGTAAAAAGTTAAACGATTTTGGATTATTTAGTGACAGCTGACGTTGTCGCCTATATAAATTTGGAATGTGAAGGTGTGCAATGTTACGACTTCATAGATATTATAGAGTAGGGATTGCCCTATCAGACTATTTTCAGCCGTACCGATATCCATTGGGACACCGCCGAGATTCACGCTCTCAAAAAAAAACAGGTAAAAAACCGTTTTTTGAGATTCAGCAGCTCATAACTTCTTGAGAATTGCATGAATCATGTGCGACTTCATAGGTTGGATTCCCCTCTTCATGAGCTTTCGGATGATATATAGTATGTAAGGACTTCGCGCATCTCACGGCATATGCCCGGGGTGGAGACTTTTCATCAAAAGTCGCCACTGGCGGCCTCTAGCCAATACATACATTAACATGGGCGAGGTGGAGACTTTGGAATGAAAAGCTTCCACTCCGGATTAGAGCCGCAAAAATCATTGAACTTTCCACATATTATACATCTTCTGAAAGCTCTTGATGGGGAGGATCTAATCTATGAAGTCGCAATATGATTCATGCAATTCTGAAGAAGTTATTAGCTGTTGAATTTCAAAAAGCGGTTTTTTACCTGTTTTCAAAAGCGTGATGCTCGGCGGTATCTTGATGGATCGGTACGGCTAAGACATATTTCAATGGAGCGATTCTTACTCTGCAAAACCTATGAAGTCGCAACATTGCATATCTTCGCATTCCAGAGTATAGGAGTCTAAATATCAGCTGTCACTGAGTAACCTAAAATCGCTTAATTTTTTAAAATCTCGTTCTTGGCGGCCACTGCTCATATCGACCTAATTTTTCCACTATATGATAGAGCAACACTTACCCTTCAAAACCTATGAAGTCGTATTGCTGACATCTTTAATCACCAGATTTATAACAGTGGAGATTTTGCTTGGTTTTCGCTATTTTATTATTCGAAATTCGGGTTCTCGGTGGTTAGTGCCTGGATCGACCTACTTTATTCGCAGTACGTTATGACAAAATCTAATTAATTAAATACGTAATTTGATTAACACGTTTATGTCAAATGTCGTTTATGTCGTTTGTCTTATGCCGCTGTACTCATCGTATTTGTTGCTCTAAAGAGGGCCATTGCGCCACAGCTGTTGGCTCAAAAGAGGACCGTTGGATTAGAGCTCTTCAATTATCCGAAGTCATCATGGAGCCTTGCTCTCCAAGATCGTAGAGAGCGCTGACGCGTAGCGCCCATGTCGATAATGGCCCCTCCCCCTCCCCCCTCTTCGACGTTCTTGAGAGGTAAGTGTCCGGCATTAGCACCCTCACATTTGGCCGGCCAATGACAGCTGAGACCACCTTCACTTTTGGGAGGCCTGGCTCCACGGCCTGCTTATGATTCGGCACTAGGGAGGTCCAATTGATCAAAGTGGCTTTGCGATCGAGTCTTACACCACTTTGAAGATTATTAAGCAGTGATTCCAATTTTGATCTTATCTGCCAAGCGCGCCTGCATGCCAAATTGTGAATATTTTTAGGTTAAATAAACTGTTACGTCGCCTTTTCAGCGGTTTCAAATAAAGCAGTGTTAAGTATGAGCGTTTTGGACAGAAGGTTTTCTTCAAATGACTTTGCTCTGATCAGTAAAGGCCATTTGAGCGATTCTGACAAATTTTGTTCTACTTATGCATTCAACTTTAACTCAAAAAAGCTCCAACTCGATGTTCAAGGACGTTCGGCAGATAACGAAGACAAAATCAGCGTTCGATGCTTTTTGCAATCAGTTCTATATATTTTTGTATCAGTTCTATATAAAAAGAGCCACTTCGACCAATCGAACATCCCTTGCTAGAGGAGCTGGCAGAAAAAGAAATGGAATCAGCGTTTAATGATCTCTAAAATGTTGTTGATTTGTACGCCACTTGACCAAAAACACATCCTTGTGAGTCTATCGCACTTTGGTCTTTACGAGAATAATTTGATTTGATCAAGAATGTTGGTGCTTACGTACGGAACTGCGGACAGGAAGGGAAAGTGAAGAAGTGCAATCTCAAGGTCGGAAACGTTATCATTTATTACTATTCAAGATGGTGTCAAGTTTAATAGCAGTACAATTGCTTCTACATGCGATACAACCAGCTTACCTTCAAATACAATATCTTTCCCTCAAGCAAAGTAAAACTTGAAAGCACCTTAATTTCACAAAATCCAGTTGGAGGTGTTATGTTTGCAAACCTCCTGCTGTATTTGCATTCCTTATGCCACATATGTTGTGCATCTTCAGCTTCCGCAGCATTGAGTTGACGCATCAAAGCTGAAAGCTTTTGTGTACCAAGGCTTTCTGATTAGATTTAACAACTTAGATTCCAAGCGGCGTCTTCGATTTTGATGTTGTTGTAATCAATATTCCGATTTATGATAATATTCTTCGTAGATAATGAACTTAGGTAAGCACAGCCGACGAATAGAACGCATATTAAAAAGCATATAACAGGCGGTGACCATTGCAAATATTTTTTTTTCGTAAAACCGATACACCAGCATAGCGAGAAGAAAGGAAACTGTCACTCCGACATAGGGATCTGAATCATTGCGTAATGCTACATAAGTAAGTCGTCACAAAAAGGTTGGCCAAGAGACTTCTTGTACAACAGATTTAGTTGAATGTTGTTGAGGCATTCTAGAGCAAACACGGGATGAGAAAATTTTATTTTATCACGTCATTCTCAAAGTTCGTTCGCATCATTTTCAAAAATATAACTTCTGATTTTTCCAACCGATATAACTGTTTTCATTTTTATGTGAAAGAGTAAATCATGGCCTTCATGATGACCTTAACGACTTACTAATGGCCATCGATTGCATAGATAGGAGCAATAGAAGAAAATTACTTGAACCTCAAATTTTCTGTGTAGGGTCATAAAAATCTAGAACTTGCAACACAAATCAGAGTAGTCGGTGCTATAAGTTCTATTACCTGCTCACTCTGACAGTGCAAAGCCTGCGCTGATTGAGCGTTTCTAACAAAAGTCATGTTATTCGAGAATGCCAAAATAAATCGAAATTGCATTTTTTCTTGCTTGCTCTATAATCATAACTTTTTATAGAAATGTTCAATCAGCACAAGTTATACAGGTAGAAGGAGCAGGTAGAGAGTGGAATTTTTTACGCCGATTCCTCCGATTTTTTTTGCAGACACACACAAAATTCAAAACTTGAGTAATTTCTTTCTGTCCTCCTACCTATGCAGCAGATGGCCATTAGTAAGCGGGTAATTCATCATGATGAAGAACAGGATTTACTCCTTCACATAAAGATAAAAGCAGTTGTATAGATGGAGAAATCAGAATTTATAAATTTTTGAAAATGATGCGAACGAATTTTTCAGACGACGTAATACTTTTTATGTGCTTGATGGACTCCGCTTTTTTCGCAACTCAGATAGGCGCCGGGGGGAGGCCGTCCGCAAACTCGCGCTTTTTTACAAGCGGTTAACAAAATTTTGAAGAGTGGCCTAACCTTCAACAAGCGGTACTTCCTTTACTGTCACATGTTCTGCAGGCGGGCAGCAGTACAGCAGTTTCTGCAGGCGCTCGTCAGATGAGTTCTTTCAGCGAGCGCCCTGGCTTTTCTTACACAGTTTCGAGCTTATGCCGAGCAAAGGTAACACTCCAAAAGGAGGTGTCATCATTGGTTTGATTACCCGAGTTTAGGGTACTTTCTCTCAGCGGAAGGTACCGGGCTGTGTGGTCCTCCACAAAGAACCGTGCGGCCTTCAGCAATTCTGCATATTCTCGCGGAATCTGCAAGTGGGCCGCATCAGCAAATTATTTTTCCGGTCCCCGCTCGCAGATAAACTGCATGGCCGCCTGCCTCTAGCGATTATTTGCTGTCAAACAATGCCAGCTACGAGTTGAAATAAATTCTCACACAAACCTACACGTTATCTGATGTTCCAAAAATCTAACGTTTTGAAGAGTAAACGGGTATCCAGTTTGAGTCTAAGGGCCGCATGCACTAACATCCCCGCGGGGAGGAGATCGCAGCTTAAAAGAAAGCTTTATATTTCGAAACTCCAGATACCTGGATTTCACGTTGTGTACCTATCCGTAAGTATTCCTACTAACCTTCACTATGAACATGTTGAAGAGGAGCGAGAAGCTTTACGAACCGCATTTTCCAGCTTTTGTATGATCCCTAATGATCCCCGGCGCTTTTAAAGTCGTTTTTCTTTCTGCAAAGTTAACGAAAACCTTTCAAAGTTGTACTGAACATCTAACACAACAGTGCTAAGCATGTTGCTGATGAGAACAAATGAGTTTTTGAAAAGTCGAACTTTTCGGCAGACCTCAAATCTCGACCTGTGGATCATCGAAAATATTCATAACTTCAAAACATCATTTGTTCTTATCAGCAACTTAGCACTGTCGGGTTAGATAATCTGCACAACTTTGGAGGTTATTCGTTAACTTCGGAGAAAGAAAAAGACTTTAAAGAAAAGCGCCAGGAATCATCAGGGATCATACAAAAGCTGGAAAATACGGTTCGTACAGCTTCTCGCTCCTCTTCAACATGTTCATAGTGAAGGGTAGTAGGAATACGTACGGATAGGTACACAATGCGAAATCCAGGTATCTGAAGTTTCGAAATATAAAGCTTTCTTTTAGGCTGCGATCCCCTCTTCACGGGGATGTTAGTGCATGAGGCCTTAAGTTACCTCTATAAGGAACGACCACTATTTATAAATCTTTGGCGGCTGTGAGTCACACTAGCACACTTCGCCTCTTCCCGCTTTCCAAAAAAAATGTTTCAAATGTTTCCTAATGAAAAATGTTTACGACGTTTGCAACCTGAGATCGGGCAACGTTTTGCTTCTCTGAATTTTGCATTTTTTTAGTGACTTATCACTTTTGATTTTAATCCGAATGGGTGCTGTGTTTGGGTAACTACTAACGTCTTGGGGTAGACTAAGGCTCTGATGTTGCATCAAACAAAAGTTCTTCTTTAAACGGTAGTTCACCATATCCGTTTTAAATATGTGATGCTGTAGGGGAAGGAGCTCTTTAAGGGCCGCATGCACTAACATCCTCGCGGGGAGGGAATCGCAGCTTAAAAGAAAGCTTTATATTTTGAAATTCCAGATACCTGGATTTCACTTGTGTACCTATCCGTAAGTATTCCTACTACCCTTCACTATGAACATGTTGAAGAGGAGCGAGAAGTTGTACGAACCTTTTCCAGCTTTTTTATAATCTCTGATGATCCCCGGCACTTTTCTTTGAAGTCATTTTTCTCTTTCCGAAATTAACGAATAACCTTCAAAGTTGTGCAGATTATCTAACCCGATGGTGCTAAGCATGCTGCTATAAGAGCAAATGATGTTTTGAAGTCATGAAATTTTCGATGATCCACAGGTCGAAATTTGAGGTTTATCGAAAAATTCGACTTTTCAAAAACTCATTTGTTCTTAACGCAACATGCTTAGCACCATCGGGTTAGATAATCTGCACAACTTTGGAAGGTTTTCGTTAACTTTGGAAAAAGAAAAATGACTTCAAAGAAAAGCGCCGGGGATCATCAGGGATCATAAAAAAGCTGGAAAATGCGGTTCGTACAACTTCTCGCTCCTCTTCAACATGTTCATAGTGAAGGGTAGTAGGAATACTTACGGATAGGTACACAAGTGAACTCCAGGTAACTGGAGTTTCGAAATATAAAGCTTTCTTTTAAGCTGCGATCCCCTCCCCAGCGGGGAGCTTAGTGCATGCGGCCCTAAGTGGACTCGCGAGGCCTTTTTGTCGGCTTTGCGCTGGCGATTCCCGGCATTTGTGGTTTCCTAGCGCAAACCTAATTTTATGATTCCATCGATAAACTTGAAGTCGTAGCAAGACCTCCAAAATGACTGAAAAACGCTTTAACGCCTTTCTTCATTTTTGTTTGATACCCTTCCAAAAATTTTTGCGCATCTGCCACCAAGCATTTGCGCTTGGACGTGACTTCATTGCATTTTAGCGACTTAAGAACTTCAATCAGCCTTCGAAAGAACACTGCTGCAAGTGTTCTTTGTGTAGAGTACTGCAACGTTTGATAAAAAAAAACTTGTTTTTGATTTTGCCTCTCCTTGTGCTCCATCTTGTATTAGGAATTTACAGACGACATTTGTATCACATAAGCATCGTGATTTGATCCCCTTTTTACGTCAGATTCATTTTTTAAACTTATTGCTACAACATGTCTGTTATAGGCCGTCCGCGGCTGTGCTCAGAGAGCAATGCTGTAGCGTCCATTGCAAATAGTCCATGGCTGGAAAGGCGCAGAGAAAAAGCAGCAATATTGCAAGAAGAAAAAGGAGTGAGAGTAAAAGTTCACAACTACGCGCTTCGCGCGAACGGCTTACATGAACAGTGATGTCGCCCGGAAGCAGTTTTCAGCCAACCTGAATTCATATGAAGGAAAGGAGGCTAACTCAGTGGGTCTTTGGGGTAATAGTATTCCATTATAACGAGTACGGGCCAATGAATGAGATAAAGAGCATACGATATCTCTCCGACAAAGACCACCTCTTGCACAGTGAGTGCGGATACCTACGCAAAAAAATTGCCCGTAAAATTTCCCGTTCTCCGCATAAATATTCTTAACAACCTTACGTTCCTTCCCTAATAGGATTAGAATTCCTGTTGAGTTAGTTGTCTCTATACGAAGAAATCTCTTTGGTAACGGATGCCAGAAGAATGGTAGTAATATAGTGAGGATAAATAGAAGCCAAGATATGAAAACCAGTACAATGTTACAGTTCGTACGATGCTCTGAAAGCCACCGTAAAGTTTATCCAACATGTCAAAAAAATCCTAACCTTCCGTCTTTGAACTGTAGTCATCCTTGATCACTAGACTCGCTTCTCTTTCGAGCTGTAAAAAAACAACTTTTGAAATTGTTCTTTCGTAAATTCTGCATGAGATTGTTGGCTGAAATTTTTGTTTCGTGTCGTCTAAAAAACACATAAATGTCATAATCAATCTTCCTACTGTTGCAGATTGTAAACGCAAAGCTCCCCAAAATAAAATATTAGGTTGATCGGAAATGTCGCATGGCATCCTACCGCGACAGGATGATGACCACAAATAACAGCGAACGGGGTATCATTTCATAGAGCAAAGCAAGCTCTACAAGGTAGTTTATAAATCTCCGCGGAAATCTTGCTTCACAAATTGAATCCAAAATATAAAATACCTCAGATACCCAAAAAATCGTATCTTCGTTTATAGACGTCTTAGGGATCTCCAAATTGCACAGGCACGTGCTCTCCACAAGAGACATTCACCTATATAGTTTGTGGGATTTTCCATGGCTACAGTACGATCAACAAAAATAGGTCAAAAATGCGATTATGTCGCGTTTTCGGGGTTTTTGCAAACAATTTAAAATTTCTCGAAAATTAGCGGTTGTCTAAAGTTGAAAATTCACAGTTATACTCCTTGAGGTTCATACTACAGAACCACCCATGTGAGCGAAGCGCAGAGTCGCTTTGGTAAAAATATGCCGAACGTTTTCTCAGCTTTCAGCGGTGGAAAAACGGCGAAGTTGTGCGCACGAGTGTCTCGTTTGGTGAGTCCCTGTGTGTGCAAGTTAGGGGTTCCCAGGGCTTTTCTGAATAAAGATACGATTTTTTTCGTTTTTTAGGTCTTTAATGCCCTAAGAAATTTAGCTCCAAACTTCACGCAAATCAGACCTGGCGCAAAAGATCGGGCTTCATTTTGTAGAGCTTGCTTCGATCTACCGGTTGTTACCCCACATGCTTACTTATGTGCTCACGCTGCTGTGACAATGCAGGATAAAATACGATGCGACATTATTTTCAGGGCAACCTAATATATTAGGTGGGTCCGAAAGTTCTGTCGTTTCATTTTCAAAAATTTGTAACTTTGCGCTGTGTCAACGAATTGCTTGCCTGTAATTTTATCAGAAAGAATAAGTTTTTCGCTTCCAAACGCTTCTTTGATCAGCTTCTGTTTCACACTGGATGCGGAGATAAAAATGGAAAACTAAGACCATATAAGCTTTGACCATTTTAAGTTACAGGGCTTTACAATCTGAGATTCCCACCCGCCCCGCTAGGCCGCCACGCTTAGGTCCGCGCAGCGTTCGTGGCGCTGGCTGCGCGTCGACTGAAGCTTGGCGAAATCCGGGCGATACGCAGCAAACGCCGCGCGCGGCCTGAGCGAGGCGGCCGCGTTGGAGGAGCCGCGCAAGCGAAATTTGCGACTCTCAGGTTGAAAAGCCCTGTAAGTCACCAAAATTCGGGAACGCTGCAGAAAAATCTGAAATTGTCAGTCATATGTTTTTTGACCTACCTTCGCAACTGTGAAAAGTTTGTGCTCTTTGGACGTCCCTGTAAAATGTTATAATTTTCGAGTTTACTATGGAAAACGCCAAATTTGATTAATTTGCCAATTTTCTCAATAATTATAACTTCTCACAGAGACGTCCAAACGGCACAGATTTTTCACAGATGCAAAGGGTAGGCCAAAAAACATATGTACTGACGATTTCAGATTTTTCTGCAGCGTTCCCGATTTTTGGCGACCTAACTTAAAATGGTCAAAGCTTATATGGTCTTAGTTTTCCATTTTTATCTCCGCACTCAATGTAAAACAGAAGCTACGCCAAACAGCGTTTGGAAGCGAAAGACTTATTCTTTCTGACAAAATTACAAGCAAGCAAATCTGTTGATACAGCGCAAAGTTACAAATTTTTGAAAATAAAACGACAGAACTTTCGGACCCACCTAATAATACCGCTCACATTTTTTGAAAAAAAAAAGGACGCAAATTGAAGTAGACTTAGGCGACCATTGCGTAACTCATGCGACGGTCGTGTGGGTTACGTGAGGGTCGCCTAATTCATGCGACATTACGGTTGCGTAGCCGTATCTCGCTTCAAAGTGAACGGATTCTGAATCCAAAGCCACATTCGACATTTCACCTCGACTCAGCTCGGCGCGGATCATCTACTGGTAAACTAGAAGTGGGAATACGATGTCTTCGATACTCCTCAAGTTTTCTCAAATTGTTCTGCGGAGGTCCTTTCGCGAAGATATGAAGCAGCGCCTATCGAACGTAGAAGATTCCACTACGTACTCTTCGATAATATAGTATTCAGCAAAGAGACAAAATTGTTATGAGTTTTTATTGGCCGACGTTTCGGCGGTTTCGCCTTCTTCAGAGCCTGGAAGTCCTCGACGATACTTTTCCTGTAGATTACCATGCGCTAAAAGATGGCCTCAGACTTCTTTTTAAAGGAGATAGAAGCGTTGGCGAATTCTAAAAAAATCACGAGTTTCCAATTTCTAACTCGCCACAACTTCCTACGAAATAAGAATATTTTGAATCCGAAAAAAAGCATTGTGCTCTGCTCATCAATACGAATCTCTCTATTCACTGCATGTCCTCAATATTCCGATTTCAGTATTTTTGATTTTTTCTGCGCATATCTATTCCCAAAAGTGTAAAACAACGCGCATGGCCCATCGTAGATTCCAGCGAGGGATTCCAATAGTACTTCCTCGTAGATTATGGAGCGCTAAAAAGCTGCCAAAGTTGCAGCATGCTTCTTTACAAAGGAGATAGACTGCTGAATTGTGGAAAAACCTTGTCCATAAAGCCGTATTTTTGTAGGCTCGTAACTCGGCGACTTTAAGATTGAAGGGCGAAGTACTTTCGTCACTCATTTATAGCTCTCTCACTATATGTCTGTAAAAAGACCTTGCACTCGACAGTTACGTCGTAAATAGTGTGTTCGGAAAACTCTATGAGCAAAGTTTCCTTTCAAACCAATACCATCAGCATTTCGACCAAAGCCCGACCATATAATTCACACAACCGTCGCATGACTTACGTGACGGTCGCCTAAGTCTACTTCAATTTGCGTTTTTTTCAAAAAATGTGAGCGGTGTTTTACGGATCAAAGTTAAGCGAATACTCCTTATTTTGAGAGTTTCAGGATTTTTTGGGGAACCTCAAAAAACAGTTGGTGCTGTGTAACAAAGCCGAAAACGGCGTACGCAGTACAACAATGAAAAGCCGTGTTCTTAGGAATGAATTTGGGCCTATTTTATCGTCTCGCGATCGTTCTAAGGCCTAAGGCATACTTTACGCGGTTTCAGTCGCTGCGCGATTCAACACTGCAACTATTCTTCATAACTGGTCATAAGTGTGCTTTGCTTGGGCCAGACACAATGCGTTTGCGGCAACTTACGAAAGCCACGCGCCTATGCTTTTGAATCCCAAGCACAGTTAATCCGAAGACTTCCGGCAAATTGCCAATTCGCTCGGATGTAGCGATTTAAAGGAATCGCGGGAGGTATGCCCTAGGCCTAAGGGATCGGTAGTAGATCTTATTTCAGGAAAAATTTTTTTTCTTTTTTTCGAATTTTTCTTCTAATTTTTTGATTTTCCAAATTGCTGCGATTGTTTACAGTCTCCCCGTAGGCGCATATTCTGTAAGCAAGGTTTGGCATGTGCAGATAAGCTTGTAAAAGTAATGCGCTCGAGCACTTGAATTCTACACGCAGTAGATTTGCGGGCACCTGCCAAATTGCCAGATCTCGTATCGCCGCGATTCTGAAGAATTTGCGCAAGGCGTATTCGAGATTTAACACGACAACACTTATGAGTCCATAGCATGCCGTCATCTTGCAGGTTGTGGTAGTTCTCTGACTCGACTAATGGCAAAAAATCATCACAACCTAGGTGCAAGATGATCTGCATGCAATGAACTCGTCACGGTTGTCTTGTTGGGAAAATCGCGATGCAATGAAGTTGCGTCTATATGCCCGGCCTTTGATACGAACGAGCGTAGCATAAACAAATATCTTATGCGAAGCTTCTTTTTTTCCACTCGAAGCTCCAATCCCTCGCATTTAAAATCTTAATAACAAAGTTCAAGAAGTGTGTTGCACACTGAATTTAGTGCACTTTAGAGGGGGAGGAGGAAAAGACTTTGTCGCCATACCCGCAAACATAATTTTAAGAACGAGCACTGTGGGATTGATTCGGCAAGGATCCAACTTGAAAAAGAAACATAGAGCAAATTGTAAGAAAACAAACTCGCATAACTCTAGTTGAGAAACCGCGGAAGAAACGTGCGAGGCAAACTAGAATTCCCTTCCATGGCCTAAAACAACTCCCAAAAAAATTTCTAAGATTTTACCTATTGAAATCGATTTCACACAGAAAAGTTCAGAATCAGTTCCTCTCAGGTTTTGAAGTGAATTGGTTACGAACTGGAAATATAATAGTACCTATTAAACAATAAAAGTTGTTGCTAGCATTTGAAGAATTCGAACTCAAAGTTGGATAGATTTAGATATGCTGAAATTCAATCTGAGGATTCGGTAAATTCTTAACTAAAAAGTGTTATATATCCGCAGATTTGTGACCCAATACGACATTTTCCACACCTGATGTTCGTTGGGCCGCTAGTTCTTAGCAAAATTTAGCAATTCTGATTTTTGAAATTGTGTCGAAAATGCCGGATTATTAAAAGTTAAGATGAGATTTCAAGATACTCGAGGCTTGAATCGAACAAAAGAAAAACGTAAGCAAAAGCATTTGAATTATGTATCACAAACAGGGCTTGAAGACCCGTCTTCTAGCTATTTTTTATGTACTATCTCATGCCATTCTGGAAGCGAAGTCAACATTCAAATTTAAAACCGCTTTGGAGATACAAAATGATATTATAATCCTTGATAGATTTCCTACTACAATTCCTAAGCTGAGCGTCTCGTTCTTGGTGCGCCCTGAGTCCAAATCATTTTGAGCTGTCAGAAAAATTAAGCCCCTCTTTCCGAAGGCAGGACGCGCAGGAGGAATCAAAGGCCTAGCAGCATGGTTGTGGTGGATGTATG